AGTCCTTGGTAAAATGACATGCACACAACAAAAGGTTTGAATTGTATTTCTGTGGTATCCTTGAACACAGCGTCTTCTCAACATGATGTAAACACACTAACTAGCGGAAGTGTTTGTGGGCAGGTCAGACTCTGTTCGTATTTCGCGGGCAGGTGGTGATTATGCATATGTGTTACCCAGTGACGTATACCGGTAACAGGCAAAAGATTCGAAAATATGACGACTCGTTTAGGTGATTCAGAATCGACTCTCTTTTGAGAGACAATATCTTTATTTATCATGCACTTTTTTGATTAACAACTTTGCAGATTGTTTTCATTTAAGGATAGCTACGTTATAAACTGCAAAAGAGATATTTTTCAAAAACCCATATGACCTGCTCTTTAAAGGAGATGAGAGAGCAGTGGATTTATTGATTTAGTATATTATGCTGCTACCACATAGCTCTAATATAAACATGTGATTTCTTTCCCAGCTGTTTACCTTCACAGACATAACTGACTGTTTTTGTAACTCATGGATGTTTTTAACATAAACCTGTGTGTATTTGACAGTTTAAACACAATAAGACATGAAAGAGAACACAATGTCGGCGCCGTGGGAAGAAACTTGCAGATTAAGGGGTGGTAATATTATAATAAGTTCCCCTTTCTACGTCACGGCAGGAGCTAAATCTGAGCGGCTTGTTTTTTCACAAGCTTGCAGAGAAAGGATTACCAAAAATGTACTGGGTTGTTCTTTTTCACATTTTCTGGATTGGTAGATGCACAGAGGACCCGATTATAGCACTTAAACATGAAAAAAGTCAGTTTTGCATGATATGTCACCTTTATGACTTAATGGGTCTTAGAGGAATTTTATGCAAAATCCTTGAGTTCATATTGAAATCTTGACTCATGGAGACATTGCTGAGATCTCTTCTGAAACTCTAGAAGATGTGAGGTTGTTTTCTCAGGAGAAGCATCAGACAAAACACTCCATTTGCTCTCTGTTTATCTCATCAAGAAGCAACTGAGAAATGAAAGAGATCTCATTTGTAATGTTCTGCAATCAAAAGTCAGAGATTTTAATATGAACTCAAACTTTCTCAACAAATTCACCCATCCCCATTGGTTTTATAGCTCTATAGTTTCTCTGTCAATCTTTCCCTGTCTCATTTGTGTCTTGTTTTATTGCTTGCAAGGAATTTAAGAAGAATCCCCGAGACAAAGTTGACAATTTAACATGCTTGAGAAATCAATGAAGTCATCTGAGCAGCAAAAGAGAAACATTTGGGCAATAAAACTTTTCTCTGTGTATGATCTGATGTTTTGCATCATGGAAGTGACTCCATTCCTTTGTTTCTGAAATATGTAAATGTTATCTGACTGAATTCATCTTCACAGTTATTGTTTTGGCTCCTGCAGCACGTCTGCATGGCTCGAAAGCTTGAAAAATAAGTTTATGAAAACACATTTTTTGGATGTGGAAATGGGTTAGCATGTGGGCTGCTATGACTCAGTGTGTGTTTGTGTGTGTGTGTGTGTGTGTGTGTGTGTGTGTGATGCGCTTCACTGGTGGCATGCCAACCTCTGGCTGCTGTTGCCCGGAAACACTTTACCGCCGTTTTGCTCTCATTTCACCTTTTTACAGACTTTTTGTCTTTTTCTCTGTGTATCTATTTTTTCCCCTTTCATCATCGTTTCCGGCATGTTATATAATGTGAAAATGATAATAAACCAATATCACTGTTGTTTTATTGGGATTATTTGCCTGTCCTGACCTTTTCTCTCTTTTTAATCGATAAACTCTAGAGTTTGTGTGTGGTTTTAAAAAGTATTTATACAATATATTTCCTAAAATATATTTCCCTAAAAAATTTGTTTCTTTTTTAAAATCTGGAAAACTTTGATGAGAAATATTTTGTATTGCAGACTTATCTAAGCCTTGTCTTGTATTGCAGCATATCTGAGCAAAGTTTGAGACATTGTTGAGGTCTCTTTTGAAACTCTAGCGGAAACACACATGAGATAATATGATCTGATTTCATCTGATTTCTGTCTGAGGAGAAACAATAGAGATATTAAAGAGATTTACTTATAGGAGTTTTTCTGAGTCTATTCAAAAAATATCTGTAAATGGCTGCACAAAATGATTATTCGTATGTTTGGATTTGTTTATGAGCATTTTTCTCCACATATTTTTGAAGTCACAATTTAAGGTTGAAGTTAGTATTTTTTATGGTAAAATCCCAGTTGAATTATAGTGTTAAAACATGTATGCTCACTGTAAAAAATAAAGTGTTGTTTCAACTGCTGCCTTAAAATATTAAGTTTAGTCAACTTAAAAATGTATTGTTGTAGAAAGTGACAGCTTTGGTAGTTGACTAAACTTCTTTTTTTAACTTACAATGCTCTAAAAATGATTTTTCTAAATTGTAAATAAAGATTATTGGTTTGTTTTAAAAGAAAATACAATTTCTACTTCAGTTTCATGTTCCATTCATTGTGTTACTTGCCATTTGTTTGTAATTATTTGTAAAATTTCCCACAGATTTCTGAGTTTCAAAAGTAAATTCTACACCTTTTTTTCAATGTATAAGTAATCTGTTTAGACATTTTGGTCAGTGTGTGTTTTAATGTGTAATCAGTACAGTAAGATTTACTTGTATGCATGTCTAAGTATGCCCACCCTCATGTTTCGATCCTTCCTTCAGTGGAATTGTATGGGATTTTTTAGAAATCTAAATTTTTACTAGAATATTTTTATCAATATTATTTTGGAGATTGTGTTGGTGGATATTCCTGAGATTTAAATAGTATAGTCAATCTGGTTTCTCATCCTCATGTTCCTCACGAAGTCATCTGGAGGTGTTTCATCGTGTATGTTTTATGCGTTCTAGCTTCACTCAGCATTCTGGATGTGTCATTGTACAATAGATGTTCTTTTTTTTCCTTTTTGTAATCTGGTTCCCTTTTTGTTTTCTACACCATTAACTTTTCTCTGTCCTTCTCTTTCCTTCTCTGCAGCGGTGCCATTTCCGCTGAGCCACAGGTTAAGCATGCGAGAGGTGTTCGACTGCGAGGGGAAACCGCGGGTGGACCTGCTGAAGGCTCACCTCACTAAAGAGGGCCGCTTGGAGGAGCCCGTAGCTCTGCGCATCATCAACGAGGGGGCCGCCATCCTCCGTCAGGAGAAGACCATGCTGGACATAGAGGCCCCTGTCACAGGTTACTGATACAGACATCTCTGAGAAGAAAGCAGGGCATGATCGGTAGACACAAACAGAAACTGTTATTGTTCCCAAACACAGCTTAATCTAGGTTTTTACATCCTAACTGAGATGTAACCTGACAAGTGACATATTTGGATCACTACATAGGCAGCAACTCAATGCATCACACAAATAGCTGTCCACACAGGAGACTCAACTCATAATTGATTCCAGTAGGCCTAGAGTTTGACATTAGCATGTTGCTAAACTTGCAACTTGATATTCTAATTGCAATAAAAATACAGCATGCATAAGAATAGGGTGTAATAGTACATTTTTATTTTTCATCATTAAACTAAATATAAATCGCCAGTTCTTGCCATCTTGTATTTACTCTGAGCTAAAGACAATGCATTCAGAGATTGCCTTCACCACAAAGAATATGTGCGACACTGCATTAAAATTGTCCAAATTAAGGCATCCATGTATAATTATTTGATGTTATGTTATTAAATTCAATAGTCTATTAGCTCTATATCAAAATCTACTGAGCTGATAATCCCAGAATGCATTGTGTTGGGCTCTGTGAAAATTTGGCAGAGGTCTGTGAAATATAATGTTGAATTTAAATATAAACATAATTTATTCATTACTAAAAATATTAATGTCTGCAGTATTTAATGTAAAGTTTACAGTTACACTAGGTTGGTACTATTTTAAGAAATGAAAGTAAATATATTTATAATGTTACAAAAGATTTGTATTTCAAATAAATGCTGTTCTTTTGAACTTACTTAAAGAATCTATTTTCAACATTGATAATAAAAATGTTTCTTGAGCAGAAAATCAGCATATTAAAAGGATTTCTTAAGGATTATGTGACAGTGAAGACTGGAGTAATGATTCTGAAAATTCAGCTTTGCATCACAGCAATAAATGACATTTTAATATATATTTAAATATAAAACAAATAATTTTAATTGTAATAGTATTTCACAATATTACTGTTTTTACTGTATTTTTAATCACATAAATACATCCTTGGTGAGCATAAGAGACTTCTTTCAAAAAACATTTTAAAATCTTCCCAACCTCAAACAGTATCGTGTCATATGTTTTTTTTATTTATAACAACCTAAATTTAACATAGCTGAATATTTACCTTTATATACTCATAATTTTGAACAAACAGATTTATTATATTCACGTTCTAGAGTAAAATAAGAGATATTTTGTCCTTTGGGATTTAATTTAGTCATGTGTCAGATGATTAAAAAGATACATACACAAATACATAAATATACTATAATATGAATATAAAATATATCTCTAGAGACAGGGAGTTTAAGATATGCATGTGCATGTATTTACGCAATTACACTACATACTAATGAATTTTGTGATTATCTCTCTCACCCTAATAAATGAGAAAACTTTTGAAAAAAACAGGCTGAGAAGACATTAGGGAATCAATTACATTGTTAGGAGAGGTCAGATAATGAACTGCACTTTGTGAACTTAATTTCCCATGAGTCAAAGCGTCATTCGGCACAGACAGCAGGTCTGACGCAGGACGAAGATGTTGCTCCTCGGCTATGAAAATGCCATTATTTAGCAGGCAGAGAAGCTGAACACGAGCACCTTTCCCTGCTCTCGCTGGCCTCACACCTGAGACCGAACCTCTCTCTCTCTCCCAGCATGCATTTCTGAACCCTCATCAGCTGGTGGCCTGGTGAATTTCACACACAGGAGTCATTAAACATTAATGGCTCGCTGGATAACTGATTTAATTCCCTGGAACCCATTACAGAGAGAGATGGTTAGCTTTGTGTGCTTTCAGTCATTCAGACCTCGTGGCCTTTAACCCTTTGACCTCCCATTGGGAACACACACTCACAGGTGAATAGCTCCAATTAGACGACTTCATTAGATATAAAACAACACTCTTCAGTCTCTTTACACACATTTCAGTCAGGATCAGCTTTTTCATTCTCATCTTAATGATGTTTATTGGATGGTTTCAAACTGATTTCAGCTATAACTATTGGATTTTATCATCATAGCCAGAGACAAGATCTTACAGTGTTGACAAAATAACCATACTTTGTACATCACAGAATAATTGCAAGAGCCATTTTGATGTTCTAATATATACTTGTATACTAAAAATGAGGTCAATTATTTAAAAAAATTCAAATTTCTCCACAATTTATTTTTACATGTTCGTGACAGAAAATGTAAGCACAAATACTTATTGTGTGACTTTTAACTAATACAAAAGTTGACTTTCAGGATGACGGCTCACTTTAAACTTTTTGTACATTTAAATTGCTTGTCATAGGTTTGTTATGTAGTTTTGGTTATCATCAATGTTGTAAGCAGAGATTTCAAATGGAAGTTTTAATTTTGGCCTTTGATTTACACCGGCAAATAACTGTATAACAATCATATATTATTATTTTATTTAATGTACCTGTGTGTTTAAAATTATTAGACAATTTAATGAATTAATAAATAAATCTAATCCTAAAATAATTTGTTTTTTAAATTAGAATTGTAAGGTTTCTATGCTAACTAACACTTCTAACTAACTGTATACAATATTATTTATTTATTTAAAAATATTTTAAATAATGTTAAATAACTAAATCCTATAATAATCTCTAATGCTAAAATACTTTTGTTTGTTGCAATTTATTAGTTTTTTTTTTCTTAAAAAAAAAAACTTTTAAGTAGGAACTTGGGATAAAAGTTTTAATATCTTCCTTTGATTTTCACTGATAAATAAGCTTATGCCAGGGATGTCTCTGATATATTTTCATACTGAATTGTTTTGTCAAACATTTGGGTTACATCAGAGTTTATTTAATGGAAACTCAACTACAGTTAAGAAATCTCAATTATTCCCTCTCTCTTTTTCAAATTTCACAAACAGTCATTCTGCTAAATTCTTCCTACTCTTCTAACTCTATTCTTTTACTCTTTTGCAAGCACTATTGTTTCCTTCAGCGATTGCCAATCTTTTTTGTGTTGTTGCAGTGTGCGGGGATATTCACGGGCAGTTCTTCGACCTGATGAAGTTATTTGAGGTTGGCGGGTCTCCTGCGACAACGAGGTACCTGTTTCTAGGGGACTATGTGGACCGAGGGTACTTCAGTATTGAGGTGAGTATATCCTAAGGTTCTTTTCTTCCCTGCTTAAGGACCCTAGTTTGTAGTACACACCACCTTTGCCTAAATATCTTGATGTGGTCTGTGAAAGCATCTTTCTTTCTATCTATATTCTGTCCTTAAGTGTGTCCTTTACCTCTGGTCGCTGAAAATCCTCTACCCAAAGACGCTGTTTCTGCTGCGGGGAAACCATGAATGTAGACATTTGACTGAATATTTCACTTTCAAACAAGAATGTGAGTACTGACACGAGGAAAACTCTGTCTTGTCATTTATGGTGTCTCTACACTTACATTTAAGGTGTGAAACTATACAATTTGTATAAACACAACATTTCACCTCTCCTCTCCTCTGACGGAGGTCTTTTTCTGGAGCAGTCTCTTGTCAGAGATGCAGAGAGAGAAAGTATGATTAGTAGAAAATTAATTTGCCTGTTAATGTTGGGCCCAGGGAGCCTGTGAGTGTGATTTCCCTGATGAGGGGAGTGAGGAGGAGTGGGTGCCCTCCTTTACCATCTGCTGACTGACAGGACACACACACACACACACATTAATACGCTCAAACTTATATACAAATGTTTACTGTGCTTTCTAAATTGGGACACACCATACAGCTAAAATTTGTTTAAAATAAAACTAAATACTACTACTTCTACTACTAATAATAAAGTAAATAATTTAAAATAATCATTCAAAAAAAATAATTTAATGGATTATTTTATAAAATAATTTTTTTTTATGTGTCATTATTTACTCATCCTCATGTTTGAAGTATGAAGCATGATATAAAATTAAAATTCTGAATATTAAAAATACTAATTTTAATTAGATCCAGCTGAATGAATGA